TTTTTTTTTTTTTTTTTTTTTTTGGTTTTTAACAACAGTCACAGTCTCGATGTAAATTCCTGACTAATGCTAGACAGCAAAAAAAAGTTTACAGAGATGATGATATCATAGAAATGTGTTTCTTTTTTCCTTTACTTTTTTTTTTACAACTTTTGAGTAAGCCTTTAAATCTTTCAAAATAAATCATGTAGACGTTTTTTAAGCGTCAGCATTTTCTTACTGATTTCTGTATATTTATTTTTAATTGCATCGACATTCTATGAAATATGTGACCTGAAAAAAGCAGAAACACAGGAAAACCCGCTACGTTAAGTATCTCATAGTAAAGCAGTCTTTTAAGTTCATTTTTATAGATTCGTAAATAAACTGGTGACTAAGCAACCAGTAAGTTAATGTTTATTAGGAGAACAGGCATTACACAAGTGTTCTGATGTTCAAGGCACAATTCATTGTATCAGGTTTTAGTCATTGTTCATTGTCTGATCAATGTAAATGATAGATTCCAGGACGGTGACTTAAATGTTAGACATTTGCAGGAGGCAAAGTACGTCTTTCGTAGTGATAACAGATGTGCTCTAAGTGCAATTTCTTTTTTGCTCATAAATTTAGTATTTTTTTACTGCTAGAAAACGTGATATCAAAGTTATTTTCTTAGCGTTGCAAAATGATTATCAGAATGAGTGAAAAATTAGGTTTTTTTTGCTACTGTTCAACAACAGCGAATTTCAACCTGATTGATACCTTCTACTAATAATGTCATCGTGACACTAAAAACTTTTTTACCATCTTTTTTTGAGCTACAAAATTTGTATTTTGTACTTGTTATTTCAAGTTTGAAATTTGAAGAAGAAAAGAGGTGAAGAAAGAATAATAAAGAGAAAAGACGTGTTGCAAACGATATTGTGTATAACTGTAGTGGAGTAATAAGAAAATGACAAAGTTAAAAATTTACTCTTAACAAAAAAAAACAGTTATCGTAGTAAATCCTCAAATACATTTCTGGACAGACATCTTCAGTAATCTCTCAATTTCTAAATTATGTAAAACAGCTAATATTTTTAGAGAAGTACTGCAATGCAAGCAGCAGGAGCTTTACGTTCACTTTACGGCACAAATTACCTGGTTGGTACTGGAGCTGATACGTTATGTGAGTTCTATAATTTTGTGAAAAATTACATTCCAGATTAAGCTTAATAATTTTGCACCTTTTTTCGTCAATTTATCATTTATAATAGCACCTAATAAATAGAATATTTATACAAAATTTGTTGTACTGTTGAAATTTTTAACCAAAGAAAGTTCAGTAAGGTCTTTTCTTGATCCTACTGGTAGGTGACCTTGTTCGCAGTAGCCTTAAAAAGCATAAGACTGCTGTTTCATTTTGGATGTTCCACCTGAGTCGAACGTTAAGACTGCAAGATAAAAGTTGATATTTAATCAATGAAAACCACTGAAGAGGCTTTAAATCAGTTGACAGTATCACATTTTTTCTGCTTTTTAATAATTATTACTACTGTTCAGAGTAATTTTTAAGCAACTAAATTTTTTACAGATCCTGCTTCTGGAGGATCGGAAGATTGGGCTAAAGGACGTATGGGTGTAAAATATTCGTATTTATTTGAACTACGTCCAGAAGAACAAGTGTGGGACGGATTTTTGCTAGCAGAAAATTTGGTGATTGCCTTCTTAATGCCTACTTTATTTCTTCTTTTCTCCTTCAAAGTTTACACTAGTAAGCCTAAGAAATTTCGTGAAACAAGAGAAGTTGTAGATATTACCATTTATGGAAATATTATTCTTATTTCTTTCTTTCTTTTTTTCGTTCTGCAAATATCAAACTGTTTTTCTGCTTGTCAGTGTGATGAGTGTCTAATCAGTGTTATCCAATTGTCAGATTCTTCCAACTGCTCGAGAAACCTTTGAAGCTGTAAAAGTAATTGCAACGCATACAATGGCCCAAGCTGGTGCCAATTACCAAAGGGATATTATGGCCGAGGTTTGGTTTTGCAACTTTTAATTATCCAACAAAAGTAAATACAAAATTTTTACTTTATTTGCTGACAAGTAGAAATTTTACATAATTTTCGAACTGCAAATAAGCCTTTTATAAACAACAAGAAGACTTAGACCAGAAGCACAAGGCTTTGAAACAATAAGGCGAGTATGCGCTAATTTGCTTTATTTTTAACTTCAAACCAGCATAAAAACAAAGTTGTGACTGTCAACTTAATTGAAGCATTTAACTTTTTCTTTATGTTGTTGCCTTGAATTAACATTGAATTTGCCAATACTTCTCTGGCGAAATTGATAAAATCTCTAAGAATTGTGTGCTTAGATATTTTTGAAGAAGCTGTCTACTAAGAATAGTAGAACTGTACTTACAGCTGAAGTTTACCTTACTGAATTATATGTTTCTGCTATCTTTGAAAGTGTAGTTTTGTTTTGTCCGCGAGGAATTTTTGAGAGAATACCAATAAATTAATTAAAAGTACATTAATTAAAGAGAAAATGCAAAAAAGATTAGACAGCAGTTGTCATAAATGTTCTATAAATAGTTATCCAAAATAAGATAAACTATTTCAATAAATTTCTTTGGTTTTTAACCATAATATTACTTTTTAATTCGTTAAAATAAGCAAACTTATCACAAGTTGTAAGTGTTCAGTGTACGCCTTAAGCTAGCTTAAATCTTATCGATATTTATTAAATAAAGTTTCTTAAAAATATTTTTTTGAAGCTGTACAGGTGGTTTTAGAGTGCTTTAGATTATAAGAGTAAAGCTTTTCTTAAAAAGTTTAATTAGACTTTAAAATAAGAAACATCTTTATAAGGTAAAAATAGAAAGATAAGCCCATTTAAATTTTTGAAAAAATCATCGAATTGTGCTATTGCTTAAACCTTGTTTAAACAAGCCCAAAGTAAGCAACAGCTTACAACACAAAAATATAAAAAGCTTTATAATAAATCAAGCAAAATGATTTACACTTTTCGTAGTTGATTTTACAGCGGCTTTGAAGCCAAAAATTAATTTTTTTAGAGCAAACCTATTGAGAAATTTGTAGCTTCAAAAATATAAGTTATTTAGGCCAATAACAGAAGGAAAGGATGGTACTACACTCGAACTCGAAGTGGAAAACGAAAGGTGAAACTTTAAATTACAGCACTAACTCTGTTAAATAAACAAGTTACTTTGCTTCTCTTACATAATAAATAATATTATATGTTATATAGTATCTGACATATATGACACTTTTTACTCTGCAATACATTTATGACTTCTGTGCCGCACATTATGAAAAAAAGTATGAATAATTAGCTAAGCGTACATATATGCATTTATTTTTTCAATTATTTACTGACCTATTTAATTATATGTGTTTTTCCTGGTCGTTCCATATTATATATATATATATATATATATATATATATATA